TTCGTGTTCATTTTTTATGCATTGTTTCTAGTGTTTGGTATAGCTACTTCTGCCGTAGTTTTCTTGTCGCCGTTGTCATTATGTTTTAGTCGTCGTAGTCGCCACATAATCTTGCAAGTTTCGTTATTTTGTCCGTCATTTTGCCTGTTTTATTTGTATTTCGTTTTGCTTTCCTGTTCTGTATATTTAACTTGTTTATGTACATTGGCTTTTTAGGGAAACGCTAGTAAAAGTGCGAATTTCGGATTTGTGGATTTCGAATACAAATTTAGTGTACCGTACCCAAATGATAGTACTGTTTGTCTCAGATACTGTACCTGGCAGGGGGCCTTAAAGTGTTAATTGCTGAACGGAGTGATTAATTTTTAAGATAGCTCCCATACAGTATAATGTCAATCACGGACTGGTTTCTACTCCTTCGGGTATGATTTTTAAAACCATCATCCTCATGTAACCCGTGAACCTGAGATTTTCAGTAAATTTGACAAAGGATTGTGTTTTACCAAAGGAAAGTATTGAGAAATTTTGTGCAAGTTGAAGTTTTGCAACAATATCGAGCCACCTTGTGTTTCATTGAAAGGAGCCCGAATGAGGACGGAAGTGGGGTAAAATTTCTGATTCATATCGTGATTGCATATCAAGAAATTTATAGTCTTGTACCAGTTAGTCCCAGTTTTTGATCATCGTATTTCGCAAGGAGAAAAAAAAGTGGTTTATTCATTGGCAAGTTATTACAAGCTTCGTTTTCATCGAGTTTTCCAGTGAGGGTCATGTCATGCTATACATTTGGGTCTTGATCTGTTTGCTCTGTTCCAGAAGACAGCCACACTTGGTGATGGTTACGATCAACGAAACAAGGACGAGAAGCCATTTTCTTTCACTGAGAAAGAAACGTTTTCCGGCGTTACTATACTCTCTGCTTCAAAGGTACGTAAGTTTTGTGTATGCATGAATGTTTTTTGACCCCTTGTGAATTACTGAAGTGTTGACTATGATTTAATTATCAGTGCACTAGCATCTGAATCGAGAAGTCTTGGTTCGAGCCCTGGTTAGTGTCATCGGGTAATTACGGGCAGAAGGGGTGGCGCAGTGGTGTGAGCACTTGTCTCCCACCGCTGTGGCCTGGGTTCGATTGCCGGAACTGAGGGGCTCGTTTCTCGAAAGTGCCGGTAACTTAACGGGCCCGAAGCCATATTTTAAAATCAAAATTTAAAGGATAGGAAGGCAGATTCTTGAAACCAAACCAGTCCTTTTTGTTTCTTTAGCGGATAGTTTTATTGTGTCATTTTCAAAACTTTTGAAATCACCATCTTGAATGAAAACAGAACAGCTTTACGGGCCCGTTAAGTTACCGGGACTTTCGAGAAACGGGCTCCTGGCGTCACATGTGGGTTGAGTTTGTTGTTGGTTCTCGTCCTTGCACCGAGGTTTTTCTCTGGATCCTCCGGTTTTCCTCCCTCCGCAAAAACCAACATTCCAAATTCCAATTTGATCTGGAAACAGTGGACAAGAAAAGCCACCCAGTGGAATGTCCGTTGCTAAATTATTTATTATTATTATTATATTACTAACTATGACACTCAGGAAAGGATACATTTCTCTTACTGTGACTTTTCTCCACTCGAAAGTCACCAAACTGTGGAATGGGCCCGAAGTTTGAGTCGCCATTACCCACTTTCATTTGTTGACCCGCCCGCATTCCTACGTTTTAATTTCAACTCTTAAACTCCCAGAAGTGATTACTTTGCAAGTTTTTCCTACACTATCCATACATTATCCAGAAAAAGGGTAATGAGAATACTCATGGTTATCAGGTAGAAGTTGTTACCTTGATCTAACACTAAATTCGCATAACTTATGTACAAGGAAATATGTAGCAGCTAGAAAGGAGTTTTAACAACCAGATCTTGGGAGTGAAAAAGTGTTATTATGAAGTAGTTTTTCATTTCCCCGTAAACACGCGGGTCAGTGAAATGAAAGTGGATGTGATGGCAAGTCAAAAATGGGTACTGGCGGGAAACGTTTAAAAACAAAACGTTTAATATACGTGATAAAATGGGGCGGTACATATACTTCTCTAATTGAGAATTACGGTTGATGTATGAACGTAACAAACTGCACAGCTAATCGCCAGTTTTCTTTTTACCAAGCGGGAGAAACGTGAGCAAAGCGCCAATTGCGCGCTTTCACGTTTCAGGGTTCAATCTTCAACACAATCCAAATACCCTGTAGTCATTAAGAACATGGCCAATAGATTGTTGCCTTTCTGTCACAGTGTAGAGTATTGTTCAAGGACTAATCTTCATTTGATATCTTAATCTATCAGGCAGCTCGTAGAAAGGAAGTACCTCTGGAGGAAGTAGAGCTTTACTTCAACCTGAGTGATAAAGTTCGGCAGTTTACTGAGGATTATTTTCAACTGGACACGCCTTTGTACTTTTCATATTCACATCTAGTCTGTCGCACCTCGCTAATGGGTAAGTTGAATTGCTTTCACCTTCGGCGGCAGATTTGACTGGTTTAGTGAGGTTTTCCAGCGGACCATTTACAGCCACTGCGTCACGTTATTCTGGTTACAGAGCATGAAAGGATCTCATCTTTTAAACACTTTGTGTTTACTCTTTTCACCTCGAGACGTTTTTTTTCGTTGTTGTTGTTGTGTTTTTTATTGTTAGTTTTTAGTTCGTTTCTGTTTGTTTGATTTTGTTTGTACAATAACCTACAATAACCTTTATTGAACGTGGTCAAATGTTCTTAGCTAATTAGCTACTTTACAGACACGCCGCGAAAATTTCTCATAAAAACCTCAATAACGCTACGATTTGCGACCATAGGTAGTTGTATTTACTTTGGGTAGCTCGAGGATATGTTTTCCTCTAAGATTATAATTAGTTGATCGTTCATGCAATAGCTCTCTTATTCCTCCAGGGACTTTATACCCATAGATAGTTTGTTGACCATTTTAACGATTCAAGTTTGTTTGTTTGTTTGTGTGCGTGGGTGCGTGCTTGAAAAAAAATGGAAAAACATCTCCCTTATTGAGAATCAGGACTCAACGATAAACGTTATAAAGCGTTCACAATGCACAGTTTATGTCCTCGCGTAAATTTTCAAAGGAAAACTCTGAAGTTTAGTCACGGCGACTTGTTCCGTCGGAAAAAATGTATTGTAACAAAAGCAATCTCTTTCCTACCTAGACCCCAGAGATCCCGACCCAGGCTTCCATTTGAGCCACCCAATTCATTCGGACAACTGTTTACTGAACCTTGATGGACTGGGCTCTTGTCCCAAGCGATCGCCAGCTTATACGTGGAGAGATTTTAGGTATGTCAGAATATTTTAACTATGTTATGAGAATTGGGTGACCTTCCCCGCCGTTTTTTCACAGCCTGCGTGGTTTTCGTAGAGAGGTTTTGCACAGCAGCCATGTTGGATGGCAGGAACAATGAAAATATTTTGCATAAGAAAGAATTTTTTTTCCCATGGGTAAAATAATCTATTATTCCTGCCATCCAACATGGCTGCTGCGCAAAACCTCTATTCAAGGAAGAGAGATGGGGAAAGAAACTCCAGCGCGAAAAAAGACTCGAAGTACGATCACTTCACAGCGCGTTCTGTTCTTTCCGCTCACCGTCCCGGTTGTAGAAATCCCTCCCCCCCCTTTATTTTCTAAGGCGTAATCATATCTTTCCTGAGATTATCGTGGTGTGGGAGGAGAGGATGGTGGTGGTGAGGGGGGGGGGGTGGCCATTTGATCAGGAGTTTGCGGGCTTGACTTCAACATCTACTTCGTTTGCGGCTGTACTGCGATGATTTGTTTTGTGTGTGTTTTTAATCTCAAGTAGATAGCAACACTGTCTACATTATAAACTTTGAAATGTTCTCTCTCATTATGTCATTTCCAAGGTTCCGCATGATAGCCATCGTTTTACAGTTTCGTTGTTTTAACACAGTTTCTGCTTTCTTGTCTCTTTCCTCTCTCTAGCCTGAATTCTTCTGGCAATTTATTTCAATTGGATTTATTTGTGTGATTACAACAATGCTGATCTCACTTCTAAGTAATGGTGTAACTGCCGTTGCAATTCTTATTATTATTTCCCTGCTTTTTTTTTAATTTCATTTCAGTGCTCTGCTGTATCTGAATGGTGATTTCAAAGGAGGGGAGTTTTTGTTTGCTAACCCTGATGACTCTGTTCAGGTAGGATCATTTAGGTCGCACAAGTGAAAAGCATGTGGCTTTAACCTGTGTAAGGATGATTAACTCATCAGTCACAGGCTGCTATGTTGATCCCGCGCTAGAATCTCCTTGTTGATTATAAGGAGAATGTTTAAAATCCAGAGGAAAGAATTGACAGCCAGATCATGGGACTCAAATGGTTACACCACCCACAACTCCAAAGATAATCTAGTTTTGATTTTCAAATACAGCTGAAACGTTATAGACATCACACTGAATTCGGGTAATAATGCCTGCACCAACCTGTATTGAAATAGAGCATTGCTATATTTTTGGCATTTTGAGGCGTAGTTATTACCAATTTTCAAAATGTTCTATTTGGCGTATAGCCGCCCTCGTGTTAAGTCACACAACGTACTCGAAAAACGGCTCGTTTCGTGACGAGACCCAGTTGGGAACGCACCTCGATGAAATATCTCTCTCGGCTTTCCTCTTGTTTCGTAGGCTAAACTTAAACCAGAATGCGGACGAGCCGTTGCTTTTTCAGCTGGACTGGAGAATCTTCACGGTGTGGCCGGCATTCGAGAGGGGCGCCGGTGTGCTCTGGCTCTGTGGTTTACTTTACGACAAAAACACGACGAACAACTTCGAAAAGTTGCCTGGGAAACTCTTCAGATGGCAAAGGAGGAAAAGCGATTGACAGAGTTGCCGTTGTTTAAGCCGGAAGTAGCCGCACATTCTGAACTCTAGCCGAAGCTTCCGTTTCTAAAATTCAAGTTTTATACCGAGAGCAAGCTCACATTTTCAAACATCAAGCGAAGACGTTTAGGGTTAATCAAGCGACGAGCAAACGCGGAGAACTTACTCTTAGGCTAATTACCAAACTGCAGGACAGATAACCCGGCGGGGTGGGGAAGGGTACCGACAAAGTCCAAGACGAGCTAAAAACTAGGCTACGTCTTAAAATACTTTTGTAAACTTCGTTTTGTTTTAAGTCAGTTTTGGAGGCATTGTTTTAATGGTTACCACTGGCAGTAAGAGTTTAACTTTTTCGGTTTTTTAAGAGAAATTTTTCATATACCTTGCCCCTATTGATCTAATTTGTAATCACTCTTCGACGGAAGAATTGGAAGTGGTTTTCGTGTGATAGTGAATGCTGTTCTCACTTTTTTCCTGCTTTAAAATTGGTTGACTTGAGTGGAAAGAAAATGTGTCCTACGAAATCATTACGTTTGCATGTACGGTGGGAAACTGCTGTTATAAACTAATTAACATGCTGGGGTTGAGAAGTAACACCAATACGTGCGGCTAGCAATTATTTCTAAGAAGGAAACTAAAAAATGGAGAATAGTTGTTGTTATCGTTGAAGTAAAACAGAATTTTTTAAAATTTTAAAAGAGGCCTTACAGTGGAGTCCATTGTGTTTGCGCAAGGCGGTGACCTCGATCCAACGAAACGAATGTTTCCTATAATTCTTGATGCGAAAGGAAACTGAGAAAGGTTGCTTTTCGTTTTTGTAAGTAATACTAAGGCTACTGATAGACTTTGCTTATATGCAGAAATATACGTGTATCAGACACACAGTAAAATTTTATATTAATCAGATTTCCGTAATTTTGATAGAGCATGTTCTTTGATTACAAAGATATGATACGTGTGCCAAGAATTCAGCCATTGAGGTAAATTCGAGGATACAAAATTTAAATTTACCCAAAGAAATTACATTGTTTAGCAGGTTAATTGAGAGAGTTAAGGGGACTTAATAGCAAGCGGGTTGTAACGTCACATTATGCCATTCCGAACGAATTATTGTGAACGAAAAGCAAATTATACGTCAATAAAAGTGTGTCACGAGCTTTGGTCCTTCGTTATAGCTTTAGACTTTCGTATTCGCTCTGAGAAAGGGCTAACGCGCGAAATGACTGTTTTAGAAACTGTTTACGGTGGTCAATTTCCAATATCAACTCAGTGAGTAAAACAAAACCACAATCCAACCTATATTATGCGGCACCGTATTTTGGGGTCACCCTGTATAAAGCGGTCAAAGTCTCTCCTTCACTGTATTTTTCACCTTCATTAAGCGGTTACCTTCATGAAGCGGTCGTGCTCACTTTAGAGCAAGTCCCAACGGTATGTTTGTATTGTCCTCCACCTGAATTTAGCAGAGCATTTTGTGGTAGCATGTCGATCAAAGTTGTTAATTTTCAAACAACGTCTGAATGTAGCTGGGACTTACCGGCGGGAAACGGCAAAAAAAAAAAAAGCAACATGATTTAAGAGGAAAACAACGTCAAAATTTTGCATGTATACCATCAGCAAATTTTCAAGCAAACATATTATTTATCTTGTTCAATTTGGGATAAATAAACACTTGAAATTATTTTCAAAGGCTGCCAATATTAATGATTCATTTTATGTAGTCGTGCGATTTGGCCAGACTTTGTAAAACGTTCTTGTGCTGATTTAAGCCAAATAGGACGCAAAACCATTCAATGACTTGTAAATATTTCACTGTTATTTATCAATACTGAGGATCACTCTTGATCTTGTAGTTGTTGTTGTAACTTCGGTTCGTCTGGTGCACTGACAATACTACGTACTAAGGTTTTTTAAAAGACAAGAAAAACAATGTTCGAATACAATAAAATTTCCTTTTCTTAATCTTATTTCTGTGTTTCAGAGGTAAAATAATACTTATGTGCATACTTTTTCGATGTTATTTTTTACCACGTGCTGTGGTTTTGTTCATCCAATAACCTAGTTTAATCACTCAAAACTTTGATAAAGAGTATGACCTTTCGTCTTTTTTTTCAATTAGAAAGTAAGTTAGTAATTAAAACCTTTATTTCGACACGATAAGTATTGAAACTGTGGAGCTTGTGGGGTCGTGATTAAGACCTTCTGAGCGACTATTCTTGTAAGTGTTTATGTACGAGACTGTCATTTGCAAGGTCACTACGATGTAACTAACCAAGCAGATTGAAAGACCAAAACTACGAGCTGATGATTACCAGCAATTAGAACTGCTTAACAGAAAGAAGGACTGTGGCGTTCAGGTTCATCGATCATCAAAAGGTAACCATGGTTACAGCAGTTAAGACGCAGTCTCGGTTCACACCATTTATTTCTTTCAAACTTTGCCCATGAATCTGTCTTAGTTTAAAGGTAATAGAAATCACCTTGGTTTTTTCGAAACATTGCCAAATAAATCAGTCAGTCAATAAGTTAAAGATACACCAGCATAGATGATTTGTATAATGACAATCGGTTATTTTTGCCCTTACGTATTCTTTGCAGCGGTTAGCTCACCTACAGAGATGAATATTTAATTAAGAGGAATTCCACCTAAGAAATAATTTTTCAAGGGATGAAATAAAAAAAGTCCATCAGCAGAACTGCGTCGATACTTCCGACGATATAGCCAAAAAAGCTAAGAGGTATATGCTTTCAACATATCGAAATAATTGCAATTTCCGTTATGTCAGAGATAAAATTGAACAATGAGTGCTGAATACCTGCATAACTATTTTTATTTGAATTTGTAAAAGACAATTAGTTTAATCATTCATGGACGACTTTAACTTGGTCACGACCAACCTAAAATTTTTTAACTTCAATTTATAGCGATGCAGTTCAAGCTTTTCCGTGAATGCATCGTTGAAATCTTCTTTGTTTTACTTGGAATTGCTTTCCCATCATGTTTCTGTTGCAGTGGTGAGCATAATTTCTCTGTAAAACGTATTGCTTTTCATTTTTCCCTCGAAACCATTAGACGACCTTCATAAGTCACCTAGTAGAAGCAAAAAATCTTTAAGCAAACACGATACATATTCTGAGGTCAAATGCTTCTGACATAAATTAAAATACGGTAGTTCCTACAAAATAGTTTGTATAAAATAGTTCTACTTTAATCTTTATCAGAACTGCTGGACATGATGTGCGATCTTTTCCACGGCCATTTTCCCGGTGGGGTCATTTTTGACAATTAACTGATTCACGGTGCTATTTGTAACTGAAAACTGCCCACCTTGGAACTTTACCTTTTGAAGAAAGGTTTTTAGCAGGCTTACGGCTCTGTCGGTCTTTACCCTCGTATTTTTGTTTTTTTGCACGTTTCTGAACTCATCTATCGTTTCTTCAAGGAGAGAAAACCTTGGCACTTCTTCGATCTTCCATTTTGTTTTTTCAGAAAGCCGCAAGCTTGTTCCCCTTGTTGATAGTGAAGTACTATCTCTTGTGTCTCTGATTGGACGAACGATGTATTTTCACACTCGTTTACTTTTCTGATTGGTCAGTTGTGTATTTCCACGAATTTTACGCGGGCTCTTTTTCATGTGTAAAACTTAGTATGTATGACATAAAATGTGTTTCTCCTCTAGTACTTACAAAAGGGTCTTCACAACATTCCCATCACAGATATCGTGGTGTGGCGAGCTGATTAACGCTATGAAAATATTCCTCTATTATCCCAAAGCTTCCTTTCCACTGCTTGCTCACCCACGTAAATTTTAAGAAGTGAAGCCTTCCAGTTAGAATTAAGAATTTTTCACGAGTGATATATGGTGAAAAATACACGGTCAAGTTTTTCCCTTGCTCCCCTAGGTGAGGATGGTCGAAACATCATATATAGGGATCCAATACCACACATGGAAAATAACGTGATCAAAAGTGTATAGAAAATAACGTGATCAAATAAAGTACAAACGTGAAAATAAAGTCTATAGAAAATTACGTGATCAAAAGTGTAGAGATGCCCGATGAAGGGAGCTGCAGAGTGATGTGGTATATGGAGCCTAGTTGTGTGTCCATTAATATTGGACCCTTGGATGGCGATAAACAGAAATGCGAGTTGAAAAACGCAACGGAAGAAAACCATGCTCCATTTCTACTGGTGAATAAATCAGGTTATAATTTTCTTGCAATCGAGGTAACATTTCACAATTCAATTTAATCAAGGAGAGTTGGATAGAGACGGCATTTCTTTATTTCTGAGGTGGTCCTACTCTCGAAGTAGGAAAAGTGAGCATGGTTTTGTTTTTTGTCAACAGAATCCTTGCAGCAGCAGTCCATGTTTGAACAATGGCACCTGTCAGTCTGGATTCACCAGTAAAGGTTTTTGTTGTGTTTGTCAGGATGGATTCATAGGGGAAAAGAGCCAATTAGAAGGTAAATTCTTACTTATTATATCATATGAAATGAAATCGAAACTCCATATTATCCCAAATATTCCCTGTTCAAATACATTGAAAGAAGAAAGAAGGTTCATATTTCAGACTTCCACAGGCTTTCATAATAATAATAATAATAATATTAATAATAATAATTTAATTCTTATATTGCGCGCTTTCCATGAAATGATCAAGCGCGTATTACATCTCAATAATAGTTATTAAGATATACAATGATAAAATTAAAGCATACAGCATATATTAAGATACTAGCAACTNCCCTAGATTTGTAATAGAACGAATCTCACGCGGTAATGCATTCCAAAGTGCCGGAGCTGCCACCTGGAATGATCTGTCCCCTAATGTAACCCTACTTCTATAAGGTGGCGTTGCAAGCGACAAACCATCCAAAGAAGATCTTAATTTATAAATTCCTGACCTTTTAATTGACACAAGTTCTTTTAAATGCGTTGGCGCAATTCTATTGATGGCCTTAAAAACAAATAGCAGAGTCTTAAAACTAATGCGTTGCCTAACCGGTAGTCAGTGCAGCTCGTATCGTAACGGCGTTATGCGACAGTAGCGTGGCGCGCGACAAACTAGTCTTGCAGCGGCATTTAAAACGCGCTGAATCTTATTCAGGTGAGAAGCTGGCAAGCCATATAAAAGACTATTGCAATAATCTACGCGCGAGATAACCGCGTGAACGAGGGCTTTAGTGGTATCTGTACTTAATAACCTACGGATTCGACTTACATTACTTACAAATGATAGAATGCCGAGGCGCATTGTTTACTTATGTGAAATAACATATCCAGATTACGAGCAAACCATGACCCAAGATTTCGCGCAACTGATTTCGCCTCTACGACTGTGTCACCTACAGTAATATCATTCAAGTTGACTTTCTCCAACTGTTGCCTAGTACCTATAAGCATTGGTTCATTCTGATTTCACCTCTACGACTGTCACCTACATTAATATCATTCAAGTTGACTTTCTCTAACTGTTGCCTAGTACCTATAAGCATTAGTTCAGTCTGATTTCACCTCTACGACTGTGTCACCTACAGTAATATCATTCAAGTTGACTTTCTCTAACTGTTGCTTAGTACCTATAAGCATTAGTTCAGTCTGATTTCGCCTCTACGACTGTGCCACCTACAGTAGTATCATTCAAGTTGACTTTCGCTAACTGTTGCCTAGTACCTATAAGCATTAGTTCAGTCTGATTTCACCTCTACGACTGTGTCAACTACAGTAATATCATTGAAGTTGACTTTCTCTAACTGTTGCTTAGTACCTATAAGCATTAGTTCAGTCTGATTTCACCTCTACGACTCTGTCACCTACAGTAATATCATTGAAGTTGACTTTCTCTATCTGTTGCCTAGTACCTATAAGCATTAGTTCAGTCTGATTTCACCACTTCGACTGTGTCACCTACAGTAATATCATTCAAGTTGACTTTCTCTAACTGTTGCCTAGTACCTATAGGCATTAGTTCAGTCTTATCATCATTTAACATCAGTTGGTCTTCAATCATCCAATTCCTCAAGTCATGTATGCAGTCGCGCATAGCATTTAGCGCGGCCTCGTCCTCCCCTTGCACAGCAGGACTAAATGCCAAATACAGCTGTGTATAATCTGCGTAGCAGTGTACACTTGGGAGGTGCTTGCTGACGATATCAAACAGCTCACTGGTGTAAACCGTAAACAGAAAAGGCTCGAGACAACTTCCTTGAGGAACTCCTTGTCTGAGTGGAAAAGCAGATGATAGGCCATCATTTATAGTGACACGTTGTGTACGATCGGCAAGGTACGACGTTTTCATGGGGGACATAACGCCGTGTAGTCTTAAATTGGCTGTTGTCTATCATAACCTTCCCCTTGCGTTTGGGATAGGTCACAAAGAGCCGGCTGTTTACAAGAAATTAACACTTGATGGTGCAAAATCCTCCTGGCTGTAAGATTATTTCATCGATAGAGTCTTAGCTGGCAGCGGCTTTTTGAACAATATGTGCTTAATTCAGCCGGTTAGGATTACATGATAAGATAAGTATTTTTTTTTAATATCATGTATTGAAGAAAAGTTCAATCAACAGTAACAAGTTACTTGATTCTCGAACGACGAACGCACAGTGATAATGCCTGGGTTTGTCAACTGACCTTGCCTTAGAACTACACTACAGCTCTTGTTTTAGACTTCGCAGTCAGCGATCGATGGCACTGTTTGATCAGAAGCATCGGGTATATTGTTCTTCACTCGTGAGATTCTCACACTTGTAAAATGGTTTGGGCTAGTGTTTTGATAAGGTATATTTAATCGTCCAAGATCAATTGGTCCGCTTATCCACTCACATCTACCAATATTGTATAGCAAAGTGTGAATTGTCGGTCAGAAGCGACAGAACTGAATTAAATTGGTGTTATTGCCGGAAGTCAGCAGAAATGATAGAACTACAGGTAGTTTGATCTGAAGATAAGACGAATAAAGAAAACTTGAAGTACAATGCCCTTTAATCAGCGCCGCCCCCTATCCAGTTTTTATCACTACTCTACGCTGAAGACACGCTTACTGATGATCAAATATGTATAACTTTCAGCAAAACGATGGTACTGGTTTACGGCCAGAATCAAAACGAATTACCAAAAGCAGTTGCCAAATAAAAGCGACACAAAAAAAATCAATATTCAAACTTTTATTATTAACTTGACAATGCTTCCTTTTACTGATTTTCAGTCAAACTGAGAAACTGTGCTGAGATCTACAAATCAGGCAAAACAGCTGACGGTGTGTACACCATTAAACCTGATAACATGTCTTCCTTTGAGGTATATTGCGACCAAACAACAACTGATGAAGGATGGACTGTGTTGCAGAAGAGACTAGACGGCTCGGTTGATTTCTATCGCTACTGGGACGACTACAAATATGGCTTTTGTGACCTTAATGGTGAATTTTGGCTCGGACTGGATAAGATTCACCGCCTAACCTCAGAAGGCAACAACATGCTGCGTATAGACATGGAAGACTTTGAAGAGAATACTCGATATGCGCAGTACAACATGTTTGGTATGACGGGTGAGAATGACAAGTACAGGATGAGCTATGATTCTTATTCAGGTAACGCGGTTTTCATTATGATATTATTATATCTTATCATTATAATATGGGGGAGGGGGGTGAAATACTGTAAAGATACCTTTGCTTTTTTCGATAGCTATGTAGAAAAATCAGCACGTTATCTCAGGTCACCTAAGTGCAATTTTGGTTTGGGGATACAAGGTGATGAAGGTATTTGCCGATGGATCGCGAACAGTCAACCTGGCGAACCAATCCAATTCTGATACGTATCTCGGCGAATATGTTAGGAGCGTTATCAAAATCACAGGATGAAATAACTAAATTAAGTTTCCTTAAAGGTAACTTAAAGGTTAACATTAGAAGTATTTAAGTCATCTTTAGGTGACATACGAAAGTTCTGAAATGTATCTTTAATTGAACTTTCCGAAGTCAATTAAAGTGTCCTTATGAACCATTTAGTTAACACTTTAAGGTCACATGAAAGCAAACCTAAATAACCATTTCATGAACACTTTAAGATCACATGAAAGCAAACCTAAATAACCATTTAATTGAATTTAGGAATCCTCTTAATTCTTGTAAAGTCAACTTTAGTCAACCAAAACTTCCACTTGTAAATGNAGTTCGGACTTCGACTAGTCAATCAGAGCGCGCCTTCAACGCTATCCACTGTTTTAGTATATACTAAATCCTGATATTGGAAGATTTGTTTTGTTTATTTATCGGCTTACTGCAAGGATCGTAGTGCACGTATATGATTTTCATAGATTCACAGTCATTGATTGATGATCATCACTTCACGGGTTTATCACGAAACAACCGTAATGACCAGCTCCCAGTTGGCTTGTTCGCTCAATTGGTAGAGCACTGCACCGGCCTGAATTTTTTCAGGTTTCATTTTCACTACTGCTTGAGTAGTGCTCATTACTGCGAGAATCGCTTTCATATTCATTTAACGGCTTATTGCAGGTCATAAAAATTGTCAGCTTGTCATGCTGAGCGTGAATATTCCTAACGCGGTTCCTTTTGTCAGGAAATGCCGATGAATCCCTTGGTAGACAGCGCAATACGCCATTTACCACCAGAGATCACGATAACGATCTATGCACTTGTAACTGCGCTATTGCGTACAAAGGAGCCTGGTAGTACCAGCGTTGTCACGACTCGAATCTGAGTGGCTTGTATTTTCATGGCCAACACTCCTCCAAGGCTGATGGTGTGAACTGGAAGCACTGGAGGGTTTTATATTCAGTACTCCCTAAAGAGAACCGAGATGAAAATAAGACCAGTAGACTTATTAACTGTCGTGTTTATTGCATAACTGTAAAGCAGTACTACAGGTCAGTGCCAAACAATCACTAACTTACTGAAATGTTCGTTGTTTAAGAAAGTTCAATCAAGTTCCAATGTAGACTTTCTGACCTCTTACTGGTCATGATTTAAATTTACTTTATCATTTGTTCCTTGCATGTATCTACTTACTGACCTTTAAAGTAAATACCTCAATTTTTCATTAATGAATATTTCGCACTGTTAGTATTCATAAGATCATAATGTCACGCCCAAGTTTATTGTAACAGAAAAAGCCAGGTAATATGTAATGTGTAATTAGTTTTAGTAAGTTGCAAGTCTAAATTTGCAAATCTAAGGGTTGCAAATTAAAGATCATCAGGTAGAATCGGACACGGAAGCTACCAATTTTTTTGCACTACTTTATTGAACGCCGAAAACTTGGAGGAACAAATTTAGACGTGCAAATTAGGGAGCAAGTTGTGGAAGTCTTAAATGTAATAACTTTCCTAAATGTAATAAAATCCTAAATGTAACAACACTTGGTCCTAAATGTAATAAGCCTCCAGTGCAATCGTTTGAGTGTGCTAGTGCATTGTTGTCATAGCGGACATCCACATTGACGGGTTAAAATGACAACTGTTGCACCAAAAAATCCTCTGACCAGTATTCATGTCACATTGCGGGCTCGCTGATATCATTTGACATCTTTTTTACTTGCTGGCTGGAGACCGTTATACTGACAGCATCAAATGACAGCTAACAAATCAATGAGTACGCTGACAAATACCTCCATATAACACTGGCTCAGACTTATAAGTACAATAGATTTTGGAAAAATGTGATAACGTTATACTTGTGTGATCAGTGATGGAGGTACAAGTCATAAACCAAATTAAAAGCTTGGACAAGGAGGTCTGCAGACTTGTAGGTCGGACAATTTGCAGGCTCGGATATAATTTTTTTGTCTTTACTTTTTAGACCAGATCTTGTTAGCATGCACATTTTGTTTCCCAATTCGGACCTTGTGACAGCTCTCTAGAGAGTTATTGCTTTCAAATTCTCAAATATTTCTGGGGTTATATGAATAGAGACAAGATGATTTTTCTCCCCAAGAGAACATAAATGGGGACAATTATGTTATCTTGATCTTGAAATGCATGCAACAAATCCAACAAACAAAAAAGTTACTGCATTGACCACTTTCAAAAATGGCTGCCGGATTAATATTCCTTTGTTTAAATTTATATTAGCCTTTCTGGCCTCGCTTGAGATAATGTATTCTTTCAAATTTTGTACTGGAGAACGAGGCCAGAAAGACTAATTTAAATTTAAACGAAAGAATATTAGTTGGGCAGCCCTTTATGAAAGTGGTCTATGGATCTGCAACAAATTATATACTCACTTATGTACAAATTATATACTCAGTGACTTACATGCAACAAATTATATACTCAGTGACTTACATTTAACAAGTGGAAATGAAAAGAAGCTGCTGACCAGCACATTAAAAATGGTTATTTATGTCAAAGCTGTAAATGATGTCCCGGCCCCAAAAAACTCACGCAAAAATTTGTGCTCTTGCTTTCTCTGAGATTTGGGTAAAACTAATCGTGTAAGCCGTATTTTAATAGTCTACTAATTGATTTAAAGTGTCAATGAAACGAAATTTTCGTATCTGAGATTTTTACATGATAATAAAGTTTGAACCTTACTAACAAGCGCTGTGAGTTTTTTTTGGTCCAACTGAGCGCGGAAAGCTTTCTTCCAGCCCTTTAAACTCGGCAAGTCGAGCCCAAAATCGGCAGCCGTCTTGGCACGGCCAAAACAGTGTTGTGACGTCACTGGTTGTATACATCTCAGAACTCCGAGTAAACCCCAAGTGAGCATGGAGTGCGGCGAAAATGTTAAGAAGCTCGCGGCGAAAATGTTAAGAAGCTCAAAAAAAAGTTTTTGGGCAAGTACTGTGTTGCTGGTGGGCCCGGAAATGTAAGTTGTACTAATAACTTCAGAAGAGAGGGCATATCGATGCTTATGTTTCCTCGTGACGATGTAACTCGCGAGAAATGAATACAATAATAAAAAAAAAAAAGAACAACAGCAACAACAACTGAACATGAATTGAACAATGAATGGCATTTTCCACGTGTAAAGTTTCTCTTCCGAGGGTCCCCTATACGGTCCCCTTTGTAAAACTCAGTCGCGTAAAAGTATTTGGCCTTTTCACGCATCATGAACAATATCCAAAACTCTTTCACGTTTACTCAAAATTCGAGACTATCACGTGGAATTGATATTTCAGTTGGCCAGTGTTACACGACAAAAGATGAGGTACTGTCTTATCTTCTTTTATTCAAGAACCTTTAGTGGTCTGCTTTATGACTTTTATCGGTCCATGTATGAATTCCATCTCCAGTCGAAACCCTAGTCAAAACCAGGAGGGCTCTTGTCGAAACCTAACTACAGCCGTTCGAGAACAATACGTACATAATAGGCGGAAATTCATCACACGAAACAAAATGGTACACGATATTCTATTGTCTAAATTATGGATCCTCCCTCAGATGGTTTTCTTGCTATCTAAATAATCGTTCACAAACCTTTCTAGTAAATTGCAATAAATCAACCAACCTGGAGGATTCTTCAATGCGGCGTTTCACTGGGAACTGTTAGGCATCTTTTCGTCTTGTGATGATGCAAGGTTGAATTTTGCGTGATACAATATTCAAATGTTGGCCGAGAATGCACGTAGGGTAAAAGAGCGACTTACCGCTGAGATTTCGCAATCTGAACAATCCTTGTATAATAAGTACTCAAATAGATGTTTATGAGCCCTCAGAAGAGCACTACAGGCTTTTTATAGCAAAACTCGCTGACATGTATTTTTGTTAGCTTCCCACCGCCAAATTTGTGCCCCTCAAAGGAACACAGATATGGCACCTTTTCTTATTTTTAGCAAAAAAAAAAGACATTACGCTTTTGTGTTATTTGAAAGAAAAGTGACAGACGCATTGAACTGAATCATTCAAGCGATCGTATATCAGCAGAAAACTACTTAAAACTCCCTTTGAATTAATGTATTGTTATGAGATGGCTGTAAGATACTTATGCTTGTAAATTCAAAGCCTCATGAATTTAAGTCGTTTTTTTTTAATATCTCCCACACGAAACATCGCACAGACCTGAATCTTTGACTGCTTGAATATTTATCTTCTTTTATCTCTTTGATTCTTGACTTTGTCTGTTGAATGGTTTTGGTGATGGGGTTACAGCGAAAACCGGTGCCCTCCGGAAAAAATTTCCAAGAGTTGGACCTCAGCTATCAGCTATGGAATCCATAGACAAGCGATTATGCGTGTCAACGCTTGAGAACGACTCAACGCTCCAGAATAATCGGGCATATGGTATTTCGAGGACTGGACTGGACTAGTAAAACGCGGACTAGTAAAACGCGGACTAGTAAAACGCTGACTAGTAAAACGCGGACTAGTAAAACGCGGACTAGTAAAACGCGGACTAGTAAAACGCGGACTTAACAACAACAACAACAACAACAACAACAACAACAAAA